CTTGGAGTGCACTTGCTGGAGACAGACACAGCCTGTACTGACACGCCTTCCGGCTGGTGAGGCCTCTCCTCTGCGAGGCTGGGTGTGCTGTAGTCATTGGGGGCAGCTTCACCTTCAAACACCATGTGTGTCTTTTTGCTTGAATAAAGGCAAATCCTGATCTAGCACCATCCTGTCGGGAGCTGGCGAGGGAGAACGTCTGTGGCCCTGTGCACTGGGCACGTGGGCAGGACGCCTCCCTTCTCCTTTCAACAAGACCCCACCCCCTGCCACCTGCAGGCTTGAATCCCACGGCAGCGATGCTAAAGTTCACAGCCCTGGGCCTGCAGCTCACAGATGTGGGGCTGCTAAAACCCAAGCCTGCTGAGCCACAGCTGTCTTGACCTCTCCCCTCAAAAACAAAAAAACAAACAAACAAACAAATAAACAAAAAAGCCCAAACCTGCAGAATATAACTTAGTTGTCAGCTTGCATTTTCTGCTTCATGGCTGCCTGGCTCTCTGAAGGACCATCTGCTGTCTGGCTCTGCTCCTCTTCTGGAACTCCACCTCCTGCTCTTCCTTGCAGGTGACCTTAGGCATGTTGCCAGGTGAGGTCACCACCCAGCCCTGGTGATGCCAGTTCTCTTCATGAGAGAAGCCTGGTTTTGTAGAACCTTCTGGAACCTTCTAGGGCCATCTTGTTTTCTGTGCTCAAGCTAGGAGTGAGGTGACATCAGTGTGTCCAAGGGTTGTTTGTGTAAGTTATCACAAGCTGAGTCACTTAGAACAACAGAAGTTGATTTTCTCATGATTCAGGAGACTCCAGTAGCTCAGTTCTCAGAAGCCTGAGAACAAGGTGTCAGTCAGGCTGTGCCCTCTGCGTGCTCCGGGGGGCTTCTTCCGTGCTTCTGCCTAGTTCTGGTGGCGGCTCCCCTTCCTTGGCACGTAGCTCTATCCCTTCCCATTCACCCTCTGTCTTCACATGTCCTTTTTCCTCTGTCTCTCTGTGTGTCCTCTCTTTCATTACAATTTTTTTTTAATTAAAGTAACAATTGTTTATAACATTATATAGGTTCCAGGTGTACAGTTTTATAAAGCAGTATCCCTATATATTACACTATGTTCATCACCAGATGTCAGCTTTCTTTCCCTCACCATACCTGATTTACCACCCCCTTCCCTTTCGGTGACCACTATTTTGTTCTTACAGTCTAAGAGTTTGCATTTGTTTTGTTTCTTTATCTTCTATGTATGAGCGAGATCGTACAAATGTTTGTCTCTCTCTGACTTATTTCACTTAGCTTAATTCCCTCTAGATCCATCCGAGTTGTTGCAAATGGCAGGATATCATCTTTCTCTTTTTTAATAGCTGAGTAATATTCCACTGTTTGTATATTTCATCTTCTCTATCTAGTCTTTCGTTGATGGGCATTTAGATTGTTCTTATTCCTGGCTATTGTGAATTATCTGTGATGGACATGGGGGAGCCCATATATAACACTTTCAATCAGTGTTTTTGCATTCTTTGAATACATGCTCAGAACACTCCTTTTTTATGTTTATCGAGATAACATTGGTTTATAATGTTACACTGTACATATTTTAGGGGTATTTTAGGGTACCTATTTTAGGATAAAAACACTGTACATATTTTAGGGGTACAGCTTCACACCTCTACAAATGTACATCACACCTGTCACCACCAAAACACCAGTAACCTCAGCCATTTTCCAATGGGCCCATCCCCCACTGTCTCTCCCCTGCTCCCTGATAACCTTAGTCAGAAACGCTCCTTATCTCACAAGGCCACCACGCCTGGACAGCGGATAGACCCTAAATCCAGGATCACACCTTGTCAGGTCCTCCAGGAACACTATTTCCAGATGAGGTCACATTACGAGGTTCTAGGTGGACATAAGTTTTGGGGGGAATGCCATCCAACCCACCACATTGATCTTTAGGGATGGTCATGCCGCATTAAACACACAAACACACTCTAAGAATATATTTGAGATATCGCGTTTAGTTCTAGTACATTTTTAAAATGTAGTGTTTAGTCATTAACAGTCACATGATCTTTATGCAGACTTTGTTTTTAATGACTACATGCTGATCTGCCACAGAAATGGCAGGGTGGCCTAGTGGCTAGGGGTGTGGGGCAGAGCTAGACTCTCCAGGAGCTCAAAATGTGACTGTCTCTGGAGACAGGGTCTTTAAAGGGGTGATTACTGTTCAGTGAGGTCATTGGGGTACCCCACTCCCATCTGACAAAAAGAGCAAGTCAGGACCCAGATGCACGTGGAGGAAAGACCACGTGGGGACGGGGGACAGCCGTCCACAGGTCAAGGAGGGAGGCCCAGGAAGCTGCACCCCTTCTGACAGCCTTGATCTTGCAGCCTCTGGAATTGTGAGCAAAGAAATGTCTGTGGTGGATGTCACCCAGCCTGCGGCACTGGTTATGGTGGCCCGAGAGGACCGCGGGTCACGGCACGGAAACTCTTCCTTGGCATCACCTGGGCCTGACAAGGGTTAAATGAGAGGAGGCTGTGTGCGCTGCCCTGTGCAGTCGGAGGTGCTGGTGGCACTGCTGGGCCCCCTCTGCATCTCTCCAGCGCTCTGGCTTCCGCTCCTTCACAGGGCACACACTCACTGGGCGCCGTCTGCCATCGCGCCGTGATGGACCGGCTGGCTCGTGCACCGTGAGAGGTCTTAGATGCGTCATCCATCTTCCAGGCCAGCCTGGCGGAGCACACCCACCACGGGGGCCTGTGGTGAGACCCTGGGCTCACTGCCCAAGGCCGGCGCCCAGGATACCCTATTGGGTGGCAGTGGGGAGCTTGCTCTGCAGACCCAGGCAGAGTCAGGCAGCTGACCCCGGGCAAAGGCGCCCCTTGGGAGTCACCTCCCTTTCCTTTTTCCAATCTCTCGGGCACCTGTCCCCTGCAGGTACCTCCCCTGCCACCCGGCAGCAGCACCAGGGGCGCGGGGCGGGGAGGTTCCTGGAGAAGGAAGCCCCAGCTTGAAGGAATTCCTGGGCATTCCACGGCTGCCCACGCTGGGAGGGGCCCTTACGTTCTTGCTAAATAGTTGGGGTGCGAGGGGAGAAGAGCCTGAGGTCTGTGGGGCGCGGGGCTGAGCGCGGGCACGGAGCATTCCCTGCAGCTGAAGTGCCTCCCCCGCCCTCCCCGGCTCCCGGGCCGGGGTCCCGCCAGCCCCTGCTCTTTCTCTTCTTGCCTTTGAAGCGTGAGCCTCGGAGCCATCGCAGGCAAACAGGATGTTCCACTCCCACACGCAGACTGCACATGAGACACTGGGTTGAACCGCATCCTGCTGGCAGTGGTGGGTCCATGGTGGGGGGAGCGGGGCCGGGTGTGAGGAGGGGCGCTCGTGACGCCAGAGCCTCAGCCCCTCCATGAGCATCCGTTCCGGACTCTGAACTAGGGGGGTGTCTTCCAGCTCCCCCTTGGGGCTCCGGGGCCTGGAAGGGCTGAGCGATGCAGGTGGTGACGCCCGCTCAGCACGTTTGTGGGGGTCCACCGAGCGATAATGGCATCCATCCCCCCTGCACCCTGGCTGTGATGGGATTTTCTGGGCGTTTTTTTAAGAATTTCAGGTAATTTCTCTAAACCTCAGCGAACGAGTGTAGGGTTACAGCATTGCTCCAAAATAGCCAACCGCTGTGAGGAGCAGCAGTGGGGGCTTGGGGGGTCGTGGTTTCTGAATGGTTGGAACTTGGACAAGACAGCCAGGGCACCCGGGGAGCGCAGCCATGGGGCGAGAGTCCCAAGAAGACCCAAATCCTAAGCCTTTCACCGGGCTGTGTCTGTAGCCAAGGGATTAGACGTCTCCCCTGTGGGCAAAGCCATCCTGAGAAAATGAAGGTCGGCTCCGTCCAGTCCCGGGTGGGTATTCTGAGCCCTCCCCTCCTCCAGATGTCTCCCTTACAGCGCGCTGGTGCCTGTCGGGAGAGCACTGGCTTAGAGGATGTCAAGGTTTTGCCACCCACTTGATAACCGCGCCTGGCAGAGAGAGACGTTCTGAGCACCTCTGGAATTTTCCACTTGTGGAGCCCATGGTGTTGCCGTTAGGTGAAGGCACTGGGGTGCACTGTGTGGGTTTTTAGTCTGCAGAGGGTCCTGAGAGTTCAGTGGAAAGATCTGAGAGGAAAGAAAGGAAGGAGAGGGATTTCTCCAAAGAGAGTGTACCCCGGGGCTCAGAGGGGTTTTCCTTCCTGCTTCTCCTTTCCCCCACCCCTGTCGGGCAAGGGACGGGGCCGTGGATGGGCTGGGAGTGGGGGATAGTGGGTACTGGGCAGAGGGACCATGGCTGAGAAGAGAGGGGATGCCCTTGAGGGCCCGCCTTGCAGCAGGAGGCCACTCTCCAACCCAGGGGCCTGGGCTCCCTCTGGGTCCTGAGCCCCCATTCCATTGCGATCATTTTGCGGGGGTCCCAACTCTGGCCAACTGCCCTTTTCTTATTTAGGGCCCGTTTCCAACGCTCCCCTTGTAACGGCTGCACTTTCATCCTCCCGCCTAGCCTAAAACAAACCCATTTTGCTCTTGGCGTAATGATAGGTTTGCTTGAGGTCTTGGACGCCAGGCCTGCGGGGCTGGACAGTATCAGCATCATCTGATAAGGCCTCTGAGACGTGTTTGTCTCTGCGGACAGTGTCAATCCCTCTATCTCAGACTTGGAGGAGAGAGAGCCCTGTGTTATCTACCCAAAGACTGTGGAGATGGTTAAATCTCTTGATCCAGGGATGTGCACCAGTGTGGAGGGACTCTATACTCCATGAAAAATACACATAGATGTGTCTGTGTGCGCCCCTCAGCTGTGAGAGTCCTTTGCAATCGCCTGAAATCTGCCGGGGCTGCACCAGCTGACTTCGGCTTTCTCGGCGTGGGCCTGTCCCTCGTATTCGCCTGCTCTGGCACGAGATGGGAGGGTGGTGAGCGCTGGGTGGGCGAGTCACAGCCCGGTCGGCCATGTGGCTCACACGCTTCTCCTTCTCGTCCTTAGATCTTCAATCTCATGAAGTATGACAGCTATAGCCGCTTCTTGAAGTCTGACTTGTTTTTAAAATACAAGCGGACGGAGGAAGAGGAGGAAGAGCCACCCGATGCCCAAACAGCCGCTAAAAGAGCTTCGAGAATCTATAACACCTGAATGTCTGAGAAGCCGGCAGGACTGGCAGCTGTCGGAGGCGGTGGGGCCCGGCCCCAGCCCCAGGACCTTCCGTGGGATATGTGTATTTTCAAAACCTTCAGTGGGATATGTGTATTTCCTTCACTGCTTGGCCAGTAAGTTTTGCATGACGGTCGCTGATCTAGCTTAAGAAAACAAATAGCTTTGAAATTTTAGTACATACACAAACACACCTGGAAAATCCTCACACTGAGCATTTTATAGTTTGATTAAAATTCACTTGAAGCCATCAGGTGAGACTCAGAGCCACCTATTGCCTGCGAGTCTTTCCCTGGCCACCGCGGAGGGGTCACGCATGTCCCCAGATCCCCCGCAAGTCAGCTCAAGAAGGAGTCGACCTGACAAACTCAGGGCCTCTGGGGTGTTGTCTGTCCGGCGTGTGTTGGGGTAAGCACTTCTCAAGAGCAAGTTCAGTGCTGGGAAAAGAAACGTCTGCCTTGACAGCTCCTGCAGATTTGGGGGGCAGTGTGTGAGTAGCAGGAGAAGGTTCAGTTTCTTACGTGTGGGTTTGTCCTGGTTTTGTTCGCAATCTGTGACATTTCATGCGACACAGACAAATAGCTCATCTTGACAGAAACAGGATCTCAACCATGAAGAAAGACAGACAGCGGGAAGTGGTTCAGGGGCCCTGTGGCATCTTGACTGGTGTTAAATGTTAAATGGGCAGGTGGGATGCCCCTTCTCCCCTGGCCCATCTGGGGGTCCATCGTGACCCCTCTGTTATGTCCCTACCCCTTGCTTGTTAGTTCTGGGCTTGAGACTTTCACAAAGGGAAAGAAGTGCTGTCTTTATGAGTCCCTTCCTCTCAGGAGGGAGCCTGGAAGTGAGCTCAGTCCCCTCCCCCCCTGCTTCCCACCCCCCCCCCCACCGCCCAGCCCAGGGCCTGGTGTTGAGAGCGAGGCCGCGGGGCCCAGGTCGGCCAGTTCCCTTCTGCTCATCGTCCCTGCATCTGCTGCTGCCAGACTGTCGCTGGCATGTTTGCCAAACCTTAACCTCCTGTTTGTACAAACCAAGCCACCAGCCGCTGTGAGCTGTGAGCTGCGGTCTGACCTGCCCACGTAGAACCCCTGCTGGCGAGGGGCTCTGTACAGTTTCTTGGGATGCTTCTGAGCCAGGGATGAGTTTCTCAGTCCCACTGGGATGAAGCAGGCGTGCTGGTTCTGTCTGGGGTAACCTTGTCCACTTGGTCACCAGGCTCACCTCTCCCCTAGAGGGGAGACTCTTGGGTAGCCCCCTAGATTCTCTAGCCTAGTTGTCCATTCATCATGGTCTAAAACCCAACCTTCCAGCTTGGGCCGGGGGACAGGATGGCCTTTGGGGAGCCCTTCACTGCTGAGAACCAGGTCTCCTGAGTTTATCAGAAATGGCAATTGCTACATCCAACAGGGGAGTTCCCCACTTCTCTAGTTCTTCCCAGGCAGGCCTGGGTGCCTGCCTTCAGAACCTTGGGATGAGACAGCGATGCTGAGAATGACACCCAAGGGCCCTGACACCTGAGAGCTTCAGTCCCTCTTTAACCAAAGTGGGCAGATGCATTAAAAAAAAAAAAGGATTAGAAACGACACAGGTTTTCTAGCTCAACTTAGAGTTTATGCACCAGAGCGATGCAGGGCTGCAGACCCACCCCTCTAGAGCACTGGCAGGTTGGAATCACTTCCATGGGCTCTGAGGCACAGGGCTGCTCTCCCACTTACCTGGTGATGTGGGTCAAGTGTGAGAGCCCAACAGAGCCTGATAAAAGAGGTGACTGGAGGTAAGCATCCCGCCAGTGTCAGGGAAACCCCAGATGTCAAAGCATCCAAGCAAAAAGCATGATCAGCAAGGTGGTCTGCAAGGCCCCAAACTAGGCCTGCAGGCCATGGATGTTGTATTTGATGGGACATGTGCTTTAAAATTTAGGCAGAGCATTTGGCCACAGACCTCACCATTCTCTGTTGCCTCCAGCAGGCCACTCATGTTCTGCTAGCTCCATTGTTTGTGCCCTGATCTACATTTCCCATGTGCAGACAGCTTGGCCTGCATGGCCTTCCCTTTGTGACTTTGCATGTGCCAGTTAAACCTCCAAATTCACTCTCCCTGCCTGCCCGGCTTCCTCAGAGTACAGTGTGGTCCACGGTCCCCTCTCTTCTGCCTCCTCAGCTGAGCCTGATAGGATCACCATAAGCTTGCAGGGCAAACTCCCAATGACTCCCATTGCCTCATACACAAAATCTTAGAACGTGGGAGACCAGCACTTTCTCCCATTATAGAGTTGGGAAACTCAGAACCAATTATATGACTCACACAGGCACATGCTTGGGAGTGGTGGAGTCTGAGGCTGGAACCAAGCATTTGCTCTGATCCCAGCTTTGTGATGGGCCCATGTTCTGCCTGGACAAGGGAAGCTTGGGTGGAGTGAACACTTGTCTTTGGCAAAGACGGACACACACAGTCATGCTTTGCTTAGCAACAGAGATCTGTTCTGAGCAATATGTCATGGGGTGATTTTGTGCCAAGATCAGGTGATTTTTGTGCCAAGTGACACAACCCTAGATGGCATCTCCTACTTCACACCTATGGTGTAGCTGATTGGGACCACGTGGTACAGCAGCCTGCTGGCCACCGAAAGGTCCGTCAGTAACGCCCGGCTGTGCTCACACAACAGATGTTTGATGCGCTCCTGCTGTACCCCAGCCAATTACCAGACACAGGAATGTAGGGGGTGATGGAACGAGGCGTCCGCTGCCTTCAGGGAGGAGCTGAGTCAGAATGGGGTATTCACGACAAACTGCCACAAGAAAGGGCCTGGCCTCTGGAGAGGGACGGATGGGATGAGCTGGGCTGGTTGCGGTCACCCCTCAAGTTCCCAAGCTCAGAGGTCTTCCCCCCAATATTAGGATGACTGTCCTTAAGGGGACAAGCTTTTGTTCCAGTCACTGGTGAACGCTAGACAAGGAAGAGTCCGTCCATGACGTTTGCCACGCTGTCTTGCTCCCGAGGACTCGGGCGCCTCACAGGTTCGAGCTGGGGCTGACGGGCCGGTGCCCAGCTCCCAGGTTCCGGCTCTGCATTTGGAGCACGTTGTTCACGAGCTTTGCAGACTACGAGGCCAGCACAGTCAGGACTCACGTTCTGTCATTATTTACTTTCATTCTGGCTGCGGATTTTTTCCTACTTGCATTTATCTAAGCGCTGAGTGGTCTGTTGTACACCAGCGTGCAGGGGCTTCAGATGCCATTTCTTCCAGGCTGTTGCCTGCCGTGAAGTGAGTGCTGTGAAAGACCCGGAGCCTGGGCGGGGAGGGGAGCCCTCAAGCACAGCTGGGCCAGGTGGAGTCCACGTGGAGAGGGCCCCCCAGTCTTGGATAAAGCCCTGGTTCTCCCGGGATCTCCACAGCACCCCAGCTTTGCCAAGCCAAAGCGGTTCAAGCAGACAACCGGGGTTCCTCCTCTTGGGGGCTCTGAGAGAAGATCTTACACCTAAATAGGTGTTGGATGGAAGGGGTTCCTGGTGTAACTCCACCTAGAGGGAGGGCGGGTTTTCTCCCAGTCCCAGCAAAGCCATTGGATAGTGGCCTGAGGTGGGTGCAGTGAGCTCGGCTCATCTCTACATCTCGGTCCATCCTCTAGATTCTTCTCCAGAATGCAGCTCCAATGTGTCTGTGCCCCCCATTCTCCATGGGCCTGGGCCCCACCATGCTGCCTCTCCGTCTCTTGCCCAGATGGGATTGCCTCCATGCTGGCCAGTCCCCACTCCTCCCTCCTCCCCATCTTCCAGAAGCACTACCCTGACCGTGCTCACCTGCCTGCGCCCCTGGTGTGCCTTTTCCTTGTCCTGAGGATAAACGTTCAGATCAGGCCTGTGGCCACCTGCTCCCCATGAGCCCGGCCCCACCGTGCCTCGCCCCTTGTGGGGTCTGCCTGGTGGGTCTCTCTGCAGACCCATGAGCGGAACAGGGCTGCTCTCTGCAGCCTCTGCCCAGGCGCCTCCTCCCACGTGGACTGGCCACTCCGTCATCTGGGGAGGCCTCTCCCACAGCCCTCCGAGCAGCCCTCTGCCCTACGATCCCCCAGTCCCTCGGGGGCCTGCAGGTGGGGGGCTTGTGCCAGCTCTCCCTGGGGACAGGACTGGGCACGTTGCTGTGCATCCTGCTACTGCAGTGTCTGCTCCTCCATGCAGCGGGGACTGACCTTCCATTCGAGCTGCATTCTGGAGAAGAATCTAGAGGACCGACAGCTCGGATGTAGAGACGAGCCGAGCTCACTCTGCGCCCACCTCAGGCCACTATCCAATGGCTTTGCTGGAACTGGGAGAAAACCCGCCCCTTCCTCTAGCGGAATTACACCAGGAACCCCTTCCAGCCAACACCCAAAGCCACCGCGGCTTACGGTTGGCGGTGCCAGGAGGACCAGCCCGGTCGTTTGGACCCCACGGCCCACCAGACTGGGCCAGATTCAGCTCTGGCCACTCCGTTCCACATGGTCATTCCAGCTTGAAACCGGGACTCCCTCTGTTCTCTCGGGGAGAAAGAAGGCCCTCACCCAGCCGTCTTGGCCCAGCCCTCCCTTCCTGGGGGACGCGCAGCCAGGGAGGCAGAATCAAGTGCTCCCTGGACAAGTCTGGCTTGGCGTGTGCAACCAGCCTCCCCGTCACCCCCCGCCTCTAGCAATATATCACGACCATCTTTCTATGCCAATAAACATAATTACACACCATAAAAAGAGTCCAGTTCCAAGATTATCTAGGGGAGATAAATGTTTCCCTCATGCTAATTCCAGCACAGTTTATATGCTGTTTTGCAACGCTGGCAAACTGTTTTCTTCTTATTTAAGCATTTAAAACTCTGTTTTTTAAACTGTTATGGCATTCAGATCGCCTAAGAGTAACAGATGTCTGCGTGATTGAGTTGTTCCCAGGAAAAGAATTTGCTGCTGCTCGGTCTCCGGAGGAAGGATGTCCTTGCAAGGATGTGGCTTTGGGTGCATATGGCCCCCTCGCCCTGTGAGAAGGGGGTGGGCGGAGGCAGCCTGCAGGCTGCTTGTAAATATCTGCATCCAGATCCTGGTGGCCAGCAGGGAGGAGGCTGCCCCTCAGTCGGGCCCTCCCCTCCTGCAGGGAGTGTGTCTCCTGGTTTCCCAGGTGACCTGCAGGCATGGACGCGTGGGTCTCTTCTGACTCCAGAACCTTAGCAGTGGGAAAGCCTCGATTGTCAGTGTTACTTTTTTTTTTTTTTAAGATTTATTTATTTATGCATACAAGAACTGGGATATAGGCCCGAGGTGTGGTGGCGGGGGTGAAAG